CGGGTCCGGGGTGGAACTGGTTGGTGAAGTGGTGGGAATGGGGGTCTAGCTCCGGCGCGGGGAAGTTGTTGGCGGAGATGGAGGAAGGTGGGAGGCGGGCGCTGGCGGCGGGGCAGGCGCTGCGCGAGGACGCTGAGGATGATCACGCGGTCGGTCGGGGTGCGGTTGGTTACGTCTTCGCGTGTTAGGTGCTCGAGAGGGAGCACGTGTTCGGGTTCGAGCGAGCCTGGGTCGGCCGCGACGGTGTTGGCCCATTCTTCGACCGAGGTGGCTTCCCACGGCTTGGTGGTTCGGCCGAGGAGGGGGATCGGCTGCATCGCTCCGCCGACCTCGGCGTCCTGCGAGCGCCGCTGCTGCTGGTAGATGGCAGCGTGGCCGTCGACGAAGACGCAGGTGGCGAGGAGGCGGCGGCGCGACTCGGTGTCGACCCAGCTACGCCACCGGTCATGGAGGGAGGGGAGGCGCTGTTGCTCGGCGGCGAGCAGGGCGTGGTCCAGGAGGGCCGTGTTTTGAGACAGGACCTGTTGGTTCAAAACCCGGTGTGAGTATGCTTGTCCGGGAGCCTGAAGAAGAGGAGCCGCGAGAGGAAGAGAAGGTGCCGTGGTAGCCACCGGGCTTTGGCGGTCGGGATCAAAGAGAGAAGACCAGGACGGCTGTGTTCGGGACCGAGAATAAGGAGAAGAAGAGGGTGAAGAAGCAGAAGGAAGATTAAGATTAAGATTACTCCCCATAGAACGGGGGAAAACGAAAGCCAAGGACGAGTCTGAAGAAGCAAAAGTGGTCCCAAACGGAGAAGTAGCCGACGACCGGACCCGGGAAGATGGGAAACTGCCCCAGGGAACGGACTGCAGCGGACTCAAATGGCGCAGAGCAAAAGGAGACATGGTGCTGGACGTCGGTGTCGCGGCATCACAAAGGGAAGAACTAGAAGACGTGGGGGAAGATGCAGGGGACCAGGCTGTAGTGTCGACGAGCCAGAGGCCGTTGTCCTCGGCAAGGGCAGAGGACGGTGGAATACTAAAAGACCGCGAAGCACTCACCCTCGAATACAAAGACTCGAACGGCTTCGAGGGTCGTGTGACGGCTTTGCGGCCCCGGAAGCGGGCGAAATACTCGCAGAGAAGAATGGCCTGCATCGTTTGGAGGCTCCATTGGGGTATCTGTTTTCCATGGTGAGAATGGTTGTCAGCGTATGGGGGTAATGTGGTGGGTTGCCCCCAGGACTCCGCTACTCACCCGCTTCACTTCCTGCCATGCAAACTCATGCAGCTGGTTTCCACGAGTGCGGTCTTCCCTGTTGTCGAGGTGTTTGCGTGGCCACGGCGGCCATGGCGCACTTTAGCACGTCCTCCGAGCCTGCTTGGAACGATTGGTAGTGAATGAAGGGTAGGATCGGGTCGACCTGGGCCCAGTAAACCTCGATATACCGAGGGATGGCAGCGCGGACCGGCCCCGGGAGCGGAATGGTAATGGAAGGGGGCCCTGGCAAAGCACACCCGCCAATAAAAGCCAGATCAAGCTCCGGAACCAGGTCGCTACTATGGCTAGCATTGTCGGTTCCTGGACTCGCAGCCGCGTACCCGACAGATAGCCCGAGATCCATGGCCACATGCGAATCCAGAAGATCATGATGGATGAGCCCCTTTCGGCGATCGAGGTCCACCGCCGGGTCGAGATGCCTCGGGAGATGAGAGGCAGATGCGTAAATGGGTCCGGAAGGTCCGTGAGATGACGCATCCATGGGCGGCGTTTGGCCACGGAGGGAGGAAATAGAGCTGCTGTGCTGATGCTGATGCGCCCGGATAGTGCCGTTAGAAGTGGCACTCAAGGGGGGGGGGTGGTGGCCGGCGCCGGCTGTAGTGTACTCTAAGGATGATGGTACGGTCAGCGTCCCGTCAAATGTAGAATCCGTGGCTTGGCGGTGGTCCGAATATGGGTTCATGAAGGAAGGATCGGCGAAGGATGGGTTTGCTTCAAGTCCCGGCCCGGAGCTCGCGAGGCCGCGCGGTGCCGCGCTGGGATACGGCGACCGGTGTCGCGCCCAGGGGCGTGGATTTCTCGAGACGTCTGATACCGGCGTCGAATAGGTTGTGCTGTCCGAAGCAGATGAGGGTAACGGGGAGGCGTCAGGGAGTTCCGGCATATCGGACTGGAATTGCGGGCCGTGCGTGACCACACAGATGGACGGCGGCGGGCCAGCCCTGGGCTGGTAACCGTCTAGGTCATCGTGGTAGGCACCCGATAGCGAGGATGGCTGTGCCGGGTTGACGATAGAGATGGTCGGGGGGAACGGGTAGCCGCCACGGAAGTCTTGACTCGCGTGTGAGAAGCCGGGCTGGTTCCCACCGTTGACACCGGGTGTGCGCGGGGTCTCAGTGGCCGCGGGAGAAGCAATTGGCCGAGAGGGCGTCGGTGACGAGCGTTGAGGCTGGAAAGAGAGCCCTGCCGATGACGGGCGCGGGCTGTGTTGCGGGGACCCTGCCTTGGACAAGTCGTCGCCGTCATGCTTGCTGTGGCCGTCGTCAGTACGTATCGGGCATATAGAAGTCATGGCACACGCACTGCTTCTCCTGATGCCGCACCAACAGGTCGGCGCGGTGGAACGCCCTATCGCAACCGGGGCACTGGAATCGCGGTTCTCCGTGGCCAAGTTGGTGTCGCCTAGAGACAGTCGTGGTTAGCATAGAGATACATCGGTGACGGGGGCGCATCGGCGGCGTTGTCGGTGAGCGAGGGTCCAGATTCTCACCTTAGATGCTCGGCCCTTGTGAATGTCTGTCACGGGATGTTAGAACGCGAGCGACGAATAAGAGAAGGACGGTAGGGGTCATGTGAGTAAACGGTTCCTCTTCTCACCTTCGGAGGTCGACAGATGTCGCAGACATGGACCGGCAGGCCCTTCTTTGCCTTGCTGACCCGCCCAGTCTTGGGAGTGATCTTGGGTGTGTACTGAGTCGTCACAGGATGGAGAGGCATGGGCCTTTGCGGGCCCCTTGGCATAGACGACGGCGAGGCGGCCGAGCTATACCGTGACCGGTCCATCGAGTCACTGCTAGTGGTGCTCCGTTGGCGTTTCGACTTGCGGGTTGTAAACCCCGACAGAGGCGGCGAAGACGGGGTCGAAGACGATGTAGTGGTGATGTCTTGTGTCCCGGGTCCTATTTCTACCTGCGCTGATGCTGCGGCGGAACCAAGACCCCGTGACGAAGTACCGCGCCGTTTAGTCGAGCCAACGGGGGCGGCTTGGTTGATATCCTGCTGGGTGGTGGCCGGGCCGGGATCAGTGACATGTTTTGGCCTGGCCTCTGGGTTGGGGGTTGTCTCTTGGAGCGGGGCGGCACTGGTCAAGTTCTTAGCGGCCCTGGCCCTTTTATTGAGGGGGGATCGGGCGCCAGGAGGGTGGTCGTCGTTGACATCCATTATAAAGCTGAGGCTAGCCATGATGGGAGACAAGCGGGCCCTCAAAATGGAAGTCAGATGCCAAGTTGGGAGTACACAGCCCTGTTGGACTGGTGAAACGAATGGAGAGGTAGCAGTCAAGATGGGAATAAGACGCTAGAGGGGACAAAAGTGTGGACGGTAGGTACGGTACACGCAATACACGCGCGGCTGCAGCAGCAGGTGTAAGGCAAAGAGAAGGGCGAGCAGCGGTATGTACAAGTCGGTCAAGAGTGACAACGTAGGGCTGGAAGTTGGGGGAGCAGGAAACAAGCCTCAGCCCGGAGGAGGGAACAGGGGGAGGGGGCAGAGAGGAGACGGTCACGGTGCCGGCCCCAAGGGACTGCTTGCTTCCATGTCGGTTGAGAATGGGACTCGAAGCATCGGGGGAGACAACAGCGCGGCACGTCTGCGGCGCTGCTATATTCAGACGGCCCACCGCGCCCAAACACGCTGCTGGACAAGTCGCGCAGCGAGATGGGATGGGATGGGGAGATCCAATGTACACTCTTGGCGACCTTTGCAGGAGGCTCAGTCCCTGTGAACCCCGTTTGGGCTGGCTGTCGCTCCCGCCCGCCGCCCACCCCCTCCCTTCTCCCCTGTCAGTACAGGGGGTTCATGGGAGGGGGGCACTGGGTGGGTAATGGTTGACAAGGGGGGTTGTGATGGTGGGACCAAGTCAAGATTATTCGTACCAAAGAAGTTTTTTGCAGAGAAGAATCACCCCGTCTTCAGGTCTCTGATTGGATTTGTTGGTACCCCACGGTCCAACGTTGCCTTCGACTTTTGTCCAACACAAGCCGAAAGCGAGGAGCCGATTCGGGGCTTCTTTTGCCGCGACGCATTAACTAGTGAGCTCATGTTAGCCGCGACTGTCCAAGGTAGTTAGTTATCGACCACCACAGCCCAGGCAAGACGGCACCACCTTCAGTGTATCGTCAATGTGTTGTTTACAACTGTCATGATGCTCGTTGAGAGGCTCGAGTTCATACATACTTGGAAGCTTCTGCACCTTCGGCAACCTTGAGCAGCGTTGTCCTCAGAGAGCAAGTTCGTTTCCTCAACACTCAGTGCACTAACTAACTCCACGGGGACAGCGAGGGCAGATGGGATGTCCAGTACCAGCCCTGATTCTTGGCGCCAAGTTCTGTACCATTGCCCTGCGTCGGGGAAGACTCAGCTTGGGCCGCGGACTTCGGCTTCCCCTCTCCCCATTAACCATGGCGAGGGGAATCTTCATCAACCGAAGGCCCCTTGGGGTTACGGACCTGCCAAAAAGGAGGTATGGCATGAATGCTGAAAGGAGTGCCGGGGGTTGCCTAAGATCCTGCTACCAAAAGTGACTCTTCTCTGCGAGGTGAAAGCGGGAACCGCCCTAACTAGTGCATGGAGTGTTACTTCGTCGATACACACACGATCAACGCACACTGGGCACATCAGCACAAGGCGCTAGTCAATTCGGGTCGGTTTGCAAAGCACAACCCACAGAGGCCTGTGCAATGAAGAAAAAAGCTAGCCCGGAAATAACGCTAACGAGAGACATCGTTGGTGCAGAAATGCTCACCAATGAGTCCCCCACAGGGAGTGCCGGCCATGTCCAGAAAGGAGGGTTACAACGAAGCGAGATGACCGCGTAGCCGCCCAACTGACTGGCTCGACTGGCTTGCCTAACTGGGAATGTGGCAGCGGCAGTCATCAAGGGTGACTCTTGAAGCGCAAGGGCCCGCACTCTCGCCACAGGAATCTGTCTCTCTGTGTCGTATGTCCATAATCATCGATCTGTGATGGTGTGTGCGGGCTCGACGGGGGAGGCGTCAAAAGAAAGGACCCTTGGTCGTCTTCGGCGATCGATCCGGTGGAGAGCTTGCGAGCATCACGCTTCGGGGACGTTCGGCGAAGTGTTTCTCCACCACGGCGCAGAGGGGCCGGGTTGTTTGACAGGGGGTCGAGTCAAGAGGCGGGTCGGGGAAGAAAGCGTTGATGTGCAGGGGGCGGAGGTCCGCCTTCTCTCTCATTGGGTAGCTACCTGCTGCGCCGCATGCCAGTGAGATCCTATTTTCGTGGGCTCAATATGTATGGTTGGGATGATGGGCTTTTCTGGAAGGGTTCTTTTTTCCCTGGGCGACGCGGCAGCAATGTAGCTACTTTGCAATGACGCGCAACAGTTGGTAGATTTACGTGCGACGAAACCCCGAGATGTGCAAAATGGTTGTTGTCGTCTCGATGAGTGGGCCACGATGAAAAGAAAACTCTGGTTCCCCGGATAGGATTGCCGAGATCGGTCATCTCTGCTTCGCTCGATCGAGTCTGCGGGGCCGCAGCTCCTGTGTACTTGTATGACACCTGTGATTCGTATTTACATGCGAAGCATGTAAGCAGTTACACGAAATTCGCGCGAGACAACAAACCAATGATTTGCATTTGGTGGTCTAAACGCATGACATCTTTTAGCAAGCTCAAGCCCTTAACCAAGGTTTGGCCTTAGAGATGGAAGTTGCCCGTGACCTGCGGCAATACGGCAAGCGCCGAACATTTGACGCTAGTGAGCCAAGTGTGCAAACTACTGGGGAGGGTGTCGTGTTGGTGGGTGATGGTACCATGCATGAAATGATCGCAATACCATTTGACAGTCCCGGCGTGATGGTGGGTGGTGCTGCCCTCGTCCTGGACCGGCCCGGTAGCGTACTATGTAATGTTCTTTGCAGCTTCCCGAGCCATGCTTTCGCTGGGCACGAGGATATGGGGACACACAGGCGCTTAGGTGTCGATGATCGATTCGTCCGATCTTGCGCCGAGGAGGTGGGAGACATGGTATGGGTGGACGAACAGCCGGTACTGGGCTGTGGCGCAGTGCAGCCGGCGAGGGGGAGGCACACACAAGCTGCCCGTTAGCGGGACCGGGACCTGCAGATGTCGAGTGTGTGATGGTGCGCCCCTGTCGCGCGCTTGTCTCAGGTGAACCTGGAACGGCGGCTAATTCTGGGCTCAGGGGAAACAGGGGTTCCCAAATAAGAGAGCTTGTGCAACCACTGGCGGCAATCAGAGAGCAAATTCGGATCACGGCAAACGCGTGTGGGTGGGCAGTTGCTTTGGAAAGTGCCAAAAATGACCGCTTTTGGTAAATAAATGACGGCCAGCCAACCAGTGCGTATCCAGAAAGAATGACACCCACATCCTCACACACAGTATGGTTCCTTTCCTCGAGGCCGCAGTTTCTTGGCTCATGATGCTGACATGGTTGTGTTACTTCGTACGTCAAGAATGAATATTCGGTGTACTGTGTATGGATGGATCGCTGTCGAGTTGTCGTTCAATAGTCTTTTGAGTTTGGCCAGGAAACCGCTGCACAGACCGACAGGCACGGGCCATGAACCCGCGGGGGGTTTGCTGAGGCCCCACGGCGGGAAGCGGTAGCACTAGCCAGCCAGAGCTAGCGTCTTTCTCCGAACGCTGCCCGAACTCATGCCCTGGTCCCGGCTCAAATCCGCGGAACATGGGAGAAGGCCCCGCGCGAGCACCGGCGCTGAACCGCTTCCGGCCCTGGGGACTCGGGACCGCGGGACGCTGCTTCGGCTGGAATCTGTGCACAGTCGTATCCATGACACCGAGGATTCGAGATTTACCGCGCACCAGCTGACTCGTATATGTAGAACTAAAATTACGAGATGTCAGTGTTCCATGTTGAAAAGCTGAACTACACGACAGAGGTTGAACTCTCCAGGTCCCCCACGCTTCATCCAGGCATGTATGGGGTGTAGTGTGCAAAGTAAGCGCTATTTATAGGCCAAGCCTCTCCGCAAACTGTAAAACCGTCGATTGTTGACGTGTCGATACACCGTCTCTCACGTCAAGACAGAAGTTGTCGTCATCGCAGGGTCTTCGGAAGAAAGAAAGCGCTCCTTCCTGGGGACTCTGGCACAGCGGCATTCCTGTGGATTATGGGGAACCAATCAGCCACGATAGCACAGGGCCCCGGCAGCGAGGCGAGATGCTCGACCCGCAAAATTCCCATATGTGTGTCACGCCGCGTGGGATGTGCTTGCGACTGAGTTGTTTTCTCATTCCGTTGCCTTTTTTTCTTTCTCTTTTTTCCGTCCTCATCTCCACTGGCAGCAAGAATCGGTATTCTCCCACCATAAGAGCTGAATGCCGGCAGATTCCATTGCAACAAATCCGGGTATGTTTCTGTTGCAAACGGCACAGCCAGTCATTCGCGGCTCACAAGTCGCAAAAAAAATTGCTGAAAAAGAAACGGACCGATGACATTGCATCGCTAACGCTAAGCACGGGTTGTTGGTGCAAGAATGTCGCAGCATCTCACACAGCCACCGCCCTGCCTTGCTCGCGTAGCACAAGCACGAGCAAAGCCAAGCAGCCACGACCCTCGCGTGAGAGTTGAGCGGGCTGAGGGAAAAGATGCTGCACATCGACTGTGTGTGCCTCAGACATGCTTCCATCTCCCGACTGCGCACCCAGTTCTGAAACCGTTTCATGCCGGGTCCACGAGTCTATCACCGGCTTTTCTCCATTCAGCTTCCCAAGATATCACCACTCTCGAAAGGTGTTTCCCCGCTGTCATTGGTCCGGGTCTGTCGCCGCAGGATTCGCAACAACCAGAAACCTGACCCTGAAAGACCAGCTCACCTGTTCTGCAGACAAACCCATGATATGAGCACGGTGTGGCGGCGCACCGTCGTTGTGTCAACAGCCTCAGCCGCTTGACGAAATAATGACAAGCTTTCGCCGCTGTTGCCGGGGAACGTGGGCGCCCGATGCGCCCCTGGCCGTTACGGGACCCAACAGACCCCAACAGCCACCTCATGCAAGGGCGGATAGAGCGTGCAAGGGACGGCCCCATCATTCGCTCTTCTGCTGCAGTTTGTTCCAAACCAATCTTCAGGTTCAGCAGCAGCCCAAGTCCAACAACTCCTGTGTGCTGTATGCGGCCGGCCGGGCTTGGCCTACCCCACGATGTGGCACACTCTCATCTCAGCCCTACGAGGCAAACAAGCAAGGGGAGAACTTGGCGAACGTATTCGTAGTTAAATGCCGTTTCGTGATAGGGGCAGAGACAACCTCGGTCGCCATTTTGTCGTAGCTGCAACTGGCATAAGCATCATTTCGGAATGTGTGTCCTTTGAGGGACACCCGTTGCAACCCCGTAGGGATTCTGTGCTCCTCATTCATGGTTCTGCCATCCCCCTTTTCCGCCGAATGATGCACGGGTTGCCTTGTGGTACATAACCCCCTATTTCCAAACGCATTGAAGGAATCACCCGGTGGCGTGAGCAATCAAGGTAGATATGCGAGAGTAAATATGCTCATAAAAGACAAAGTCAGATCTCCAACACTGTGGACATCGCCTGAGCTTGTAGGTGACACCAGAAGTTCTTGGTTGGTATCACAATTCTTGCCACCCTGTGGCAACCTCACTGCGACCAACACACGAGTCCTGCTTCTGCACGGGCATTGAGCAGCAGCCGAGTTCGTTGTAAGCGTGGCCGGCCAGTATAGATGAAACCAACGAGGCGCCGATTGGCATTCCAAGCCTTCATCGGCCATGCCGTGATTACAAATACTTCCTCTTTGTGTCCACGCCGAGAGGTCGTTATAATCAGTGTTGAGTATTCCGCCATACCCGTTAAGCAAGTTTGGCGTCGCCACTGTGTCACACGATCGATAACAAGTCCCGCAATGGAAAAAGAAGGATACGTCTTTTTGTTTAATGAATAACAATAACTATTATTTTGGCTAGGAGACACGACCAAGCCGACGGAGATGGTGTGGTGATGAGCGAGTAATTCCATGCCCGTCACAAACCCATCAAGACGAACCCATGATCATGAATCTTTAGCTACAAATTCATGACTACGGGCCTCTAACAACGAGCCTATTAGGACAATCACAGCAAAGTATACCTACCCAGGAACTCAGTTTAGGGAATGCAACTTGACTCGATGGCTGTTGTCTTAACGGACTGTTGCCTCCTCAACAGTGAACCGAGAGAGTCTGAGATTGATAAGTTGGCTTTCCTAAGAGTAAATACATCTATTACCCATGAGCGCAGTGTTATTCGTAGAAGAAGAATACCTAAAGAGCACGCAAGACAGCACCAGCAACCATACCTAGATTGACAGGAACATATCCAAAAGAGGGGGGAGTCCATATATCTAAACCACGTTCCGCCGTTACACCCCACAAACGCCATCCAAATCACAGGCAGACTCGAGCGGTTATAGATACATTATAATGTTTCATGAGCCTGCACTAGGAAATACCGACTGGGCTTAATGCGACCGCCCCCAGTGTTTATTTATACCACAACTTTTCCCGTCCCAGAACTCGAAACCCAGGTGTAGGAGTAGGAGGAGGACGACGACAACGACGAGAAGGACGAGAATGAGAAACGCTCAACAAAACAACAAAGGCCAAGCCAGGCCAGTCAACACGGCTCGCGGCCGGTGACAGTCTGCCCGACACAGAAGACCGACGGACAGAACACATCCCTCCGTTCTACAAAACCAAGAAACACAATGACGTCGCAACAGGGCCAAGGCTAGCCGCGTTGGCTCGTCGCAGGCAGCTGCATAGACCGACGGCCGTCGCTCCCATGCTTGTCCTCGCTCTCCTCCGAATCGTCGTCGCTAACGGGCCGGCTCTCCCCTTCCCTCTCGCCCCTGCGGCTCTTGGTCATCTAACACACTGGTCAGCATATCTCCCCAAATGAAGAAAAACAAGCACAAGATGTTTCATAGAGGGACCTACCCATGAGCGCACCCCACCAATCAACCCCAGGGTGTACCCCGTGACAAAATCATTCGAGGTACTCGTAGCACGCTCGCCCGCAGTCGCCACGCCCGTCGGCGGGCTCCTGGGGAACGGAAACGCGCTGCCGCCCGCGGCACCGCCGGCGGGCCCCAGCGGGCTACTCGGCGGTAGATCGCCGCCATTGATGCTGGCGCTGCCACTGCCATTACCGTTACCGCTGGCGAAGCGGGCCGGGCTGGGGCTCTGCGGGCGCGAGGTGGGCCAGTACTGGCGGAGCTCGCGGCTGAGCTCCTGACCGGTGGTGGTCCAGTTGGTGCGGATGTTGTCGCGCAGGTCCTGGACGTGGCGTTTGAGCTCGAGCTCGTTCTTCTTGAGCCAGCTGATGTTGAGCTCCTGCCGCGAGGTGCCGCGCTTGAGCTGGCGCGCGATGTACTTTTCGTAGTCGCGGACGATTCTGGGGGGGTGCGGGTTGTGTTAGTAGGGTTGTGGGCGATGGGAAAAGGGGGAAGGGGGGGCCTGGTGGGGTGGTTGGTTGGGTTGTGGTGGCTTTGCTTACTTTGTGATGATACCTGTGGTGCTCACGCCCTCGGTTCGTTGGGTCACGAGGAACTTGCCTGCGGCTTTGAGTGGGGGCGTAGTATGTCGTCACCTTCGTCGGTCACCGTTAGGGGAGATCGTCGTTGGGCGAACGTAGTTCCAGCTTGATGCTCTTCAAGAAATTCGGGGGGTGACGATCCAGGGGGCAGTTCTCGATGACCTCGTCCACCCATTTGCAGTGCCGTACCGTCTCGGCCCGTTTCCTTGCCCGAGAGCACAGTGAGACCCTTGCGCTTGTGCGTCTCCTCGTCGCCAGTACACGCCCACTATCAGATACACGTCGGGGAACGCCTTCTTTGCTTGCTCGAGACTGGCGCATGTGCCTGTCATTACCGTTAGCTCATATCCCCGACTGGAATCGTAAACACAAGGTAGCTGATAAGCCCCCCTATCTCGTAGCCCAACATACCCCAGGTGGAACACAGTCGAGATACACCATCCCGCATACACTCTCACGGGCCGGGCCCTCGGGAGGCGGGTTTGTCGTGTATCCCACCCGGGTGAGTAAGCTTGCCGATCGGAGGCGGCGCCATCGCCGCGGTGGTCTTGCTGCTGGTCATGCTGCTCCCATTGGCACTGGCATCGCCGCCCTTGCTCGACGTCAACTTCCGGCTCCCCTTGCGCGTCACGCGCTCCGCGATATCGACGCTGGCCTCGGTGGTATCGCTCGGCTCGCCCGGGTCGCGAGCTTGGGTGTGGTGGCCTATCGCACTGGCGGCCGTCGAGCTGGGGGGGAGCTGGTCTGAGCTGGCACGCTGGCGCTTGTTGGGGTGTGCGCTGGAGGACGAGTCGGTCTTTCTGTGGGCGTTGGCCGCCGTCCGGCTGGACTCGGGGGCGGTGGTGTCGCCCTCCTCGCCCGAGGCGTCTCGGGACTCGTTCTGGATTGTCTGGTTCTGGTCCATGTCGAGAGTGGCGGACGTGTTGTTGCGCTTGCGTTTCCCAGCGCCCTGGGCCGCCGAATTTGAGGACGACATGTTGGCAGGCAAGAACGTCGGCCTGCCGAGAGAAAGAGCGGCGGGAGAGCTAAATAACACGCAATGTGGGCCCGGGCCGGATATGGAAGCCGTTGATCGTCCCGGGAGGCCGAGAATCGAATTCGATGCGCCCAGCGGCTTGGGAGGATGTCGAAGCGTGGCCTGTTGCCGTGATTGTCAGACTTGCGGGTTGTCAATCGCCGATTGCGCAGCAACCATCTGCTCTCACGGGAAGCTTTGAGTGGTATCTTGTGCGTATCAAACTCGTCGACTACCTGGTGAATACCCGATGGATAACTATCGGGTAACGCGGAGAAACCGGGACTAACGGGGTATAGTTTCGCTGGTTGATTTGACGTACGATCAATATATCAAGCCAAGTCACCTCGGGAAGGTTTTGAGGTTGTTGCAGCGGGTATTTATTAAAAAAGAAGCTGGCCCACAGCGAGCGAAGCAGTTAGAAAACTTCGACACGATAGTTAGCTGCTCTGCGAAACAGCACACCAGAACACGTTAATTGGGGAATTCGAGATGTATCGCGTTCCGTGCCTCCACATTAGGCATAATGATTCGAGATAAGCGTCGCTGGCCGGGGTTGCAGGAAAGGGGGCACCGCCCGAATTCTGCAAAACAATTTCCTTTTGCTCAATGCTTGCCCAAGTTGTGGCAGGGATGTCTCATGGCCCCCTGCAGTGGTCACGTCATTATCCAGACAATGCGGCTTCCATTGTGGTGTGTGGCTTGGCCTCAGAAGGTGACCCAGAGAGCAGGTGCTGCGTCATCAACCTTGGAGCACCACAACGCACTGAGGTGCCTAGCATTGTGTAGGTTCCCTGTCGTTTGATTTAAGGACTTCAAGAGGCAGGGCAAATTAACTGAACTTTAATTGAACTTCAAAATCGTATACCGCTAGCATTTGCATCCGATTGAACACTGGAATTTAGTGAATGACTGAAACTTAGGACTGTGCCGCACGCTTCGATAAAACTGTCACTTCCAGCAGATGTAGGTAACCAGGTTAGAGTGTTGTCACTCAACCCCAAGTCGTGACCCTGGTTTGAACATCGTAAAAAGAGAGAAAGATAATCCCTATACCGTAGAGACCTCGTTTTACAGCAGCTTAACCGTGTTCCTCTTCACAAAATGCCGCCCACACCTGCGCTTGTCACCCGGCTTGCTCATATAGCAATACGACTTGGAACCCTCGGGCGCCACGGGCCCATACTTTTGCGTAACCGAGCAGTACTCGCGGCCCTCGCCCATCCACTCTTGAATGTGTTTATGAAGCTGGCATTTCGTAACGCCGCACATGCGGCAGTACCCTTGCCCGCGCACCCGCAGCTTGGATAGCGCGTCCTTGCTACCGACAGCCACGAATGAGCTCGGGGAAACAACATTTCCTGCGAGATGCCACGCCCACTCAAGCTCGTTCGGCCCGTTCCGGCGGGCGGTGAGGGAAACGGTACCGTGGAGCCGGCGGTGGATGGCGTAGAAGTGCTTGTTGGTCAGGCCGAAGCAGGTGCTGTCGATGGGGTCGAGGAATTCGAACATGACAAAATGGAGTTCGGGCGGTAAGTCTGTGAGTGCAAGCCTGACCGTCGGCTTGTGGCGGCGTGGAATGGGCTGCTGGTCGGTGACCGAGTAGGACCGCCGCGGAGGGCCGAGTGGCGGTCGCCTCGCCGGCGGTCGCGTCTGTTCCACCGCTTTCTGGGCTGGCTCCTGCGAGGGTTCCGATGGCGTCTGGGGTTTGCTTTCAGGAATGGGAGGTGGTTGTGGAATAGTATAGAGCGTAAAGCCGGGAGACTGTGGGGGGAAGTACTCGTGCTGGGTTTGGGACCGGCGCGGCGCGCGCTTACCACCCTTGGGAAGACTGGTTTGATTCGTTCTGTGCTCCTCCCTTGTGAAAGGCGATCTTGACCCCTCCATCGAGGGCGTGCCACTATACAGAACCTCGATCATAGTGAAGTTATGGGACGCCGTGGTTGGATGGCAGTGTTGTTGAGGACTAGAAAGACTGAGACCAGGTTTTTGACTCTGAGCAACTTGAGGACACGGCCAAGAGGTTTAGTGTCGGTGATATCGATGTCTGTAAGCCAGATGGGTGTCGAGTTGTGGTCAAGGTGGGGGGTATGATTGCTCCCGGTTGGTTCGTTTAGATATCAGGCCCGTCTTGAGAGCGGTTTCAGGTACCGATGCCGATTGTGATGCGGATCGGAAGTTGAGGGCCCCTCACTAGCAAGCTCATGGGAGGGAGGGACGGATTAATATTGGTTTTCCGGTGCGAGGCAAGCGAGTCCTTTGAGCAGCTTGGTGCGTGGTCAGTCGAGAGATCTGCCGTGGCTGACGAAGTGGCCAGACTCGAGTGGACCGCTGTAACCGAATGTCGAGGCCCGGTGCTGGGAGGGAGAAAGAGAGGGCGCTAAGATTGCCGAGGGGAGTTTGGGGTAACACTGGGTAGTGTGGAGGGTGCAAGAAGATTCGGGACGAAAATGTCTAGGGATTGCCCGTTTTTGTGAAGATGGGGCAAAAAAGATACACGGGACCACAGTACTTGTCGGAGGGTGATCGGCGCCCCTGATTTGCTGTTGTGGGAAGTCGTGGCTTCTGTCCGGCACGCCGGGTTCCGGTCGACTTGTTATCCGGCCGCGATTTGGTGGAGTAGGAAGAGGAGATGTGGGTGGATGAAGCTGGGAAATGCTTCCTTGCCGGACGTGCCCGAGTCCTCGAGCCAGTGAACAATGATGTGGTGTACCACAGACACCGCTCGAATGCGAATCATGAATGGCCTTGCGGGCCTGGGGATCCGGAGTTCGCAGGCTTATCCAGCCAATGAGTGCTCAATTCGTAACAACTTTGTCCGACGCCTTCAACCACGAATGACGACGCGGCGGGTCTTTGGCTGAACAGGCGGGAGGGGCAGGGGTTTTGCAGGAGGCTACGGGATCGACCCATCTGGATCTCTCGCTCTCGAGAACATCTTGCAGCTTTCGGCGTGTCAAGGTCGCACGCCGAGGCCTCTTGGCGAAGGAAAGTGGTCAAGAAGGTTGCAAACTTGGCAGACCAACGTCACGCGATGTCGCCACTCCTTCCCAGAACCAAGTTGGATGTTGTTTTAAGCAAGCCGTGGGTTTCTGAGGTTTTCTCTCGTAACCGCTTGATTTCTATCGCTCGTACACTAGGATAGCGGTCACAAATAGACACTTCTCTTTTTTAGCACAAGAACAGCTGGCTCGTCTGATCAAAGACTGCGCAACCAACCTGAGTTGGAACGATCGGGTCCTTCCGGGAGGCAGGAGGACAGGCCATAACCGTTCTCGAACCCCGCCTTCCATTGGCCAACAATCATTGGATGTCCGTCCATACCCCGCCGCCTTCAATGATGTTCTTGATTTTCATGTCCTCAAACAAAGTGCGATATAACCCATTCCCCCCTGATAAGTTTTTACAGCCTTGTTGTTTCGCCCGTTGCGCAGGATTGTACAGGATGGAACAGCTGGCATGAATTGCATTGCAGTGAGGTCAGTTATGACTTCTGTGGCAAGAGATTGTCGCACGTCGTAGCGTGATCTGCTGTGCCACGGCCGGGTTTACGGCCCAGCTCGTCCAGGCTACCAAGCCTACGGGCCCATGGGGCCTACGAAGCACGCCCACCCGCACTCGAGCCGCAGTGGCCAAATAGGTCACAAAAGGGGGCCGGCCGCTCTGATCCGGAGGGGTGGCGTGAGCAGAGTCCGGGGAAACGCAGGGCTGTGACAACGTGTGATGAGGCTCAACCGCGCCTTTCCTCTCCAGCTGCTCCGCGCCGGGGCACATGGCAGGATAGGGCCCCCACCCTTGAGTAACAAGGGCGTTCGAACTCCGTTCCCTGGGCTGTGTGTTGAGTTGCTTAACATTGATGGAATTTTGTTAATCCACAGTGCGATATCGCCCGTTTCACCGCCAAAACTGGGAAAATGGTATTAAGGTATGTGTGGCAGGTCAAAAAATAACCAAGTCCTTAGACAGCGATCCAAATGACCATAAGGACGACATCCAAACCCTTGGCATCGCCATCCCATTTGAAGCTCCACATGCCGTCCGTCTTCTCGTTCCAGTAGCCGCCGGTTGCGCTGTGCATGCCACGCCGGCCAGCCTGTCCCTTCTTGGATGTGCCCTCTTCTGTTGACTGGGTGGTCGGCTTGTTCAGCTGCGATGTGGGGACGACGTGCTGGACAATGGTGCTGTTGATGGCAAACTTGTAGGCCGGCACAGTGGCGCCTTGAGGGGTAGCCTCCGCCATCACCGCCTTGAGCATTTTGCTCTAACAGAGAATGCATCTGTTAGCGGGTTGCTGAAATCGTGCGGGGATTCACTTCGGGCTCAACCTACAATGATTGTCTCGTTCCATTGCGCCGTCTTGGGGTGCTCGTAATATTCGGTACCTTCGAAAACGCTGTTGCACACCTGTTGCCTTGCCGTCAGCACCTCCCCTTGAGCCCTTGATAAGACTGGTGGTATTTGTTGGCCGGGGGTTCACGTACGTCGCTAGCTATCTGCTCTAGGCGCTTGAGAGCAATCGGCTACCATTGATGTCAGTATTGGTTGTTCTCGTGCTTGGATCTAGGGCGTGCTAAAGGCCGTACAGCGTTGGTGGTTTGGGCAGCCATTGTGGTGTATTGAGGTGGGGGGGACGTGTTGCGTTTGCGGTGGAGTGGCGGTGGTGATCCCCGTCGGATGATTGTGGTACTAGTCGGCCAAGAGTTAGAAAATCGGATCAAGGGTCAGCTCGAATCAGGTGCTGGATACCTGAGGCGCAAAATTGACTTGATTGGCGAGGTGGGAGCTGGTTTGGGATCGCGGTTTTGACTGGCGGTTTGTTGTTTACGTCGCGGTAACGGTCCGTATCGATACCCAACTTCGAAAGCTCCTATCAGGCTGTCACACAGCCTCGCAGGAGCTTGGACCAGAACGCTGCGCTCTGATAAGCCACCAGGTTTGTGCAGTTCACGTGACCCTTCAGCGAGGTATCCTTTCTCCAGCCGCCGCGATGCAACCTCGAGCTTTCTGCCAGTAATATGCCAAGCACGACCCACGTGCATCCTTGTTGCCTGAGCGGAGAGGGCCGACGGCCTTTCTGATTGATCAATTGAGCTTCCAGCCATCGCCCCCAACCAGCCCGTTGTCTGGACCGCCGACTGCCGGTGAAGGTCCTCCTGTGTGAGCAAAACACCAAAGCCGGAGCTGGACGAAAACATCACCATCTTCTAGTCTGCATCACAAGGATATCGAGAACGAGAACCGGCTTCTCACCGTTGATTCCTTCACCACCACCACACGAGCTTTGCGTCACGATGTCTAGCCAACCTCTGCTCCAGACCGCACCGGGTTTGTCCTCAATCAAACCAGCCAGCCATATTCTACCCCACCTAACTTAGCTTTCTCATAGGCAAGCGCATCGCGCTCCCGACGCGCGTCGAGCCCAAAGTTTTCTTCGCTAACGAGCGGACCTTCCTCTCGTGGCTCAACTTCACCGTCATTCTGGGCGCTCTGGCCATCGGCATGCTCAACTTCGGTGACCGCCCTGCCTTTATCTCGTCCTTCCTGTTCACGGGCGTCGCGATGGCCACGATGATATACGCGCTCATAACGTATCACTGGAGAGCAAAGTCGATACGGATGAGGGGGCAGGCGGGCTTCGACGATCGGTTTGGCCCGACCTTCTTGGCCATCATCTTGCTGCTTGCGGTGGTCGTCAATTTTGTCCTGCGGATCACCTACTCGGCCCAGGACAAGAAACCCTGAATGACATTCTAGGGAAGACTATCAAATTGTTTGGAGTTGGTGTGGGTTTGCGAACATTCTGAAGCCGACCTCGTGCGCGCGATTTGGACAGGGTTGAGCATGGGGGAGATGGTAGCATAAGTTTGGATATGTCGTGACTGGATTGGAACGGATGGATTCAAACGGAATCATTATGGAAACGGACATCACTTGCATTTACATGGGTTCATACCACCGGCGTTTGTTAGAAATTGCATACTTTCCGAATCGCTGCCTCGATGGTTTCACGTACGCCGGTCCTAAAGAAGAGGCGAGTGGTGGTGCCATTTGTAGACACTCCGCCTCGAAAAAAGATATTGGGTATCATCCCGTCAGATGTCCGGACTCCAATCCCCGAATGACAAAACCCTTGGCCGTGTTGAAATCCGGCCCTGACCCGAGTAACTTCAGCCTATCTCCAGATCCGCTGGGTTTTTTTTTTTTGGGAGAATAGCCCACTAGCCAAGCAGTCCCATCTTTTTCTTCCGCAGATGTTCGATGCTTCTCTCGTTTGTTTGTGACGAAACGTTGGGCTCAGCTGCCAGCTCGTCCAGCGGCAACCTTGAGAGCAGGATGACTACGTGTGCTTCGTACCTGACCTTCGCTGGCTGCACCGCTTGCTCATGGATGGTCGGTTGTCTCGTCTCGAAGTACTCGCCATCTGTGTCGTCGCCCCCTTCCTTATCAACATCCATGTATGTGTCCTCTACGACTGAGGGGTCCTCCGACGGCGGTGGCTCTTCTATGACCGTTTCTTTCGGCACGTTATACTGAAACCACTTCTGCTCGCTCTCTCCGATGCGCCGTCGAATGATTTCGGCTATCGTTATGAGTTTGGTGGACGCGGACGACTTAGCACAGAGGAGAACGACGCCCGGAAGCACGCTCTTGTCCCAGATGCTGAAGCGGCCGAGGTGTCCAAGGGCGCGGTCGACATGTTTGCGGATACTGGTTGAAGGTAATACGGACATGGTTTTGATTTCAAATTTGCCGCTCAGCTTGGCAAGAAGAGGATTGTGAATTTGGCCGTAGTTGCTGGTTGTTTGCGCCGGGTTGTGTGTTCGATTCGGCGTTCGATTTGGGAGCTGAGCGTCGGCCGCTCGTCGTTTCTTGGGACTTGGGTCATGACTGTCGTTGTCAAATTTCCGCTTGGCCGCATGCGGATTTGGGAACGATGATTGTGTCGAATCTCGGGCGGCCATCGCGGTTGGAAAAGGCTACCCAATGTTGATTGGGGCCGTAAAGGAAGTTGTGGTTGTGGGCAAGATCTGAGTCGATGCGAAGCACTGCTTGGCACGCACCATAAACACAGCGGGTCCATAGGTAGTTCTGTGTGGGGTTGGCGGCTCCCGTGCGGGTTTATCGATAAGACCGAATAACTCACTCCAACAGCCGTAAACTTTATGTTTGTGCTGTTGCAACGAATGGGAGTTATCAGGGCAAATGCCGTCAATCGGCATGAATTCTTTTGGTCACCTTTGTGATTTGAGACTAGCATGTTAGCAGTTTAGGCCTTGTTTGCTTCTATTGTGGTTTTTGAAAACGCCGTTTGCTCCCCTCTAAACGGAGGTCCCACCCTGAGAAACATGCTTCGTGTGTCGGTACCTCATGTCCATTGCGGGCGGTAGAGATGTATTTAGATTGTTGCTTGCTGGTCTGAAGATTCGTTTTATGCATGTCACTATTCCTCGTAGTGCTCAAGAAACTCTTGGAACGCTTGAGCCACAGCCTTTTGTACCCACCCCGAGCCCCCTTGGTTGCACAAGATATGCACGGCTTAAACGTTGAGACGGCATGTAAACGGAAAATTCACTGGGGTGTAAAACTTTGAACTGGGCTCTCGCCAACGGTAACATAATTACACGACGGTCTGGTAATATCGGAAGTATCCGTGCGCCGTCTTGCCTCACCTGAAGTGCGCTTGGCATAATGCAAGGGATGGGGCTCCTTTTCTTGGTACGACATGATAAGACCCCTGCCTCAAAACATGCCTCCGAGTTGCATCATGCTGGTCCACTAACAAATGGATGGTGAGCACAGCCCACTCGCACAGTGTCCTCCTCCGCCAACAGGCAGACAGCGGGTTTCGTCTTCAACGTCAGTTCCTCGACAAGCTATCGTCCGTCCTCAACAGACGCATGAGCTCTTGTTCCGACCGCGATGGGGCAGTGGTGGAACTCGGTGGCGTATTCTAGTTCAAAGTCTTGTCCCCTTTTTTTAAAAATAAAAAAAATTAGAGCCACCAAGCCATGGTGATATCTTCCCCTCATTGTTCTTCTGTGTTGCATCTTTGTTCGAGTTCCCCGTTTCTTGGCTGTGCTGCCCAAGTGGAAATGGGGCGCACTGGTACTCCGTCCAGGCAGCCCCACCCCTACCCAAGCCTCCCAGCCAGATCAGCCAATGTGCTACGAGATTGCCCCTTCCAGGATCAGCCCTTGGCTGTGGCCCGGGCGGCGTTAGTCACTGATTCTCGCATCCATCGTTGCCTCCCAGCTCGCATTCCAAACAATTTCCCCCCTTCTCAGCGCACGGCTCCCTTCCAACACCGCGCAACAGCACCCGTCCCTCCCCCAACCTCTCGATCGACCTCGCAATCATTGCCTTGCGAAACACTCCAAAACCTCGCAAAAAAACGTTGCGCAACCGACCATTTTCCCTTTCACAACTTCGCGCATTCCCTTTATACGAATTTATCACACTCCCTTTAATTCAGACGGTCCACGCTGTGCCCGAGACTTTAGATAGTTCTCGCGCGGTTTCCATCCGCTTCTTCGTCTGCATCAACGATCTGTCGCGGCACTGCGACCGACAGTGGCGCCAGCACCTCTCGCCTTTCATCTGGAGTGGGCCACATCAGCAGCGACCGCGCACCGGCTCCACTCGTCCCCGGCCTCGCACCTCTGACTAAGCCGAGCTATCCGGAAAGGCCAAGCCGATCAGACCCAGTCCCATCTGCAATCAATCAGACTGGGCGTTACGTCAGCCGAACACACCTCCGACCGCCCCTTAACCGCGTCGTGCTGTTGCCTTGCCTTGCAACACAACGTTCGAAACTTTCAAACCCACCACTCACCCCGTTCACTTATTTCTCAACGACGACTGTTCCTTTCACCTTTCGCGGGGCCTTCTACCAGCCACCGTTCCCGGTCATGTCAATGTTCCGCTTTTGGGCATCCGACTCGAGAGGAAGCGGCGAAACCGTAGATGGACACCGCCAGCTTCTTGATTGTGGCGACTCTATTGCGCACGGCGATTCAGGACTTACCACCCCTATCTCCCCTAAGAGACGGCGCCCAAGCTTTGCCAACAGGGTCGTCTGCGCTTATCCACCGGCCAAGCGCGTCAAGACGGAGCAGGATGGTGACTTGCCCTCCCCTGTTTCGGCATCGGCCGAGGGTGACGACCCAGGCGCGTTGTACGAGTCGAGCATGCCGCCCGACCTCGATGCGGCGAAGGAAGCCATTCAGATGCAGTTTGGACTCGAGATACTCCTGAAACATGATGAACTCCGGCTCATCAACCAGGAAATAGCCAAGTGCCAGGTTGCGCTTGAGCAACTGAGGCGTTGTCACCTCATCCCGTACCCCCTCCAGTGCCCCACGCCCAGCCAGATGGTGCAAATCAGCAACGGCAACGGACCGGCCTTGGGGTCAACAAAGCGTGGCGAGCCCGTGCCGAAATGGGCGCCGCCCTTCGGTGTCGTTGAAGGGCCGTACGCGCGTCATTATGCTAAGTGGCTGATTCCTGATCCCGTGTTTGATGGTGTCCAGTGTGAGCCCCAAGGATTGATGGATCCGGGGCGTGCGAAACACACCGCGGAAGGTAGGACGACGAGAAGCAGCGTGTCGGATGCTGTAGGGCCTGGTAAACAGCGGCCGGTCCGCGGCACCGCAGGCCAGAGGTTACAGGCGCTATCCAGTGGATACCCGCAACCGAAGGACAAGAGCACGCCCTGCACCATCACGAAAGCCGATGGCGTCGTAGTCAAGCTCATCTGCATCGACTGCCGGAGATGGGACTTTAATAGCACCCAAGGTTTCATCAACCACTGCCGCATTGCGCATCACAGAGATTTCAAAAGCCACGAGGAGGCCGCAATCGCCTCGGGCCATCCTGTCGAGGTTGACGAACGGGGCGCCATCGTTGGTGATGACCACAAGCCTCCTGCTCCCGTGCCCTCCGGGCTAGTGCATCCCCTAGCGGGCTCCGAGTCGACACCGGAGCCCCAAGCATACACTGCTCTTCTCACTCGTATCAAGGCGTCCGTTGCACTTTACAAGGCAGGGAACCTGCCGGGCGTGAACAGCATACCTGGGCTTTCAAGCTTGCCCCGCGATTCGACTGGCGCGTCTTCGCAAAACCTTGTCGGGTCTTCGGACGCTCCATATCTGTCGCGACTGATGCAGAAGAAGAAGATGGGAGGAAACCTGAAGCAGCAGGTGATGGAAGCGAAGACCAAGCTGGATTGGAACTGGCCTTCAGTTGATGTGGATTCGGAAACGGACGAGGCACCCGCAACCGAGGGCAGCGTGGCCCGAGACCAACCCTTGGCTTCGGTCGTACGCACGCCTGCTGTGATGAGGATGCCTTCTAGGGCTGCTGTGTCGCCCTCTCACCCGCCAGCTGCATATCGCGCCGCTAGCAACAAGGGTCTCCGCACGAAAACCCATGGCACCGATCCCGAGTCCCCTAATATCCCAGAAACCCCGATGTACGATGAAGAGATGGGTGTGGATCTTAGTCCAAACACCGTGATTAGCAACCATGCGCCATCTTTGGTTAGTGACGACGGGGAGTATGACGACTCCGATGATGGTTCGGCTTCGGAGACGAGTGACGCTATGGAGACGGAATCTGTTTCTGACGTCGCCGAGATCAACATCAACGACGATGGTGACGCCCGGGAAGCCTCGCCCCCGCCTGTTTCTCGCCGTCGTGGATCTACCAGCAAGGCGGCTAAGCTGAAGAAAGATGAGACCAGGCACGTTACTTTTGTGCGCCCAACCCCCGTGCCGAAGAACAACAACAAGGGCAAACGCAAGAAGATTTAAGGCCTGCACCTGCTGCGCTGGGTGCTGCAGCTGGGGCCGACGACACCGCTTTTACGACTCAAGATTCTGCACCACTATACATATTTTTAATACAATTCGGGCCCCTCCAAACGACTGAGGAGGCTCCTAGTTTTTGGATTCGCACGGCCGTCCTTCCCTTCACAACGGCAGGGTTGAAGGACTTTCTCAACACTATACATATACACCTTGTATTACAACTCCAATCTGGCATCGCAGGACTTGCCATCTGGACTGAGCGGGGAGGCAAAGGCAAAAGAATAAGATACCTGTACCATGATTTTGTCGTTTTGGCTTTTTTTGGTGAAGATGAACTTGAAGATTATGAAACTTGGCTGGGCTTTTCGGTTGGCTTGTGCTGCGAGGCACAACGAAGCAACGGCGCGTGGCACAACGGTTCTTTTAGCGGGTTGACTTTGGATTGGTTCATGGCTGCGTGTGTTTTTAAGTTACCAATGTTGTACCATTCCGCATCCATGCTCCGAGTGTAGGGGAAAGATTACGAATAGAATGAGGATGAGGTGTTTTGCTTTTAATAAAAAACTATTAAAACCCCAAGACCTTGCACTGTTGTTTTTTTCATTATGAGTTGACAGAGGATCGTACTCGTGAGCATTACAACCACCTCAGTAGCACCTCGGTAGCACATCCGGTATATGAACACAAACACAGCGAGAGCAGGAGGCAAGCAGGTGATAAATTACACGCTACATAGGTAGGTCTCTAGACAGGTGTAGTGGGCGTTCCCGCAAAATGCCAACCAGCGTAGTCGCTATCTCTGTTGCTGGCACGTCGGCAACCGCCTGACTCCTTCGATTAGGCCCCCTCTCCCACAAACCAGCTTCCCCCCTCTCGCACCAAGTCAGACTCCACCCTCTCCCTGCTTCGCCCCAGCCGACTCGAAGCTGCTCAGTCAATCTCGACATCGATGTCCAGATCCAGGGCGCCAATAATATCATCATCCATCAGCGGCTTATGAATGATAGGAACGCCCGGCTTGGCCTGGCTGCGCTGCTGCTCCTGCAGCTTGGCGATATGCGGTAGCACCGCCGCTGCGTCTCCGGCCTTGCTCGGCGTCCCGCTACCGTTGGCGGGCGTGTTGGCGCCGCGTCCGTCGGCGGCCTGCTGAGACTTCTCGATCTCGCGGGCCCGGGCGCGCTCTAGCAGCTGGGCCTTGCGGACGGACTCGGCGTTCTTGCGGCGGTTTTCGGCATTGAGCAGGGCGAGCTTCTCCTGCTGGGTCGGCCCGCGGTTCTCGTTCTTCTTCTTGGAGGAGTTGAGGGTGGTGCGGAAAGCGAGACGGGGGACTTCGAGGTTGTCGAGCTTTTCCTGGAGGCGGCTGACGGCGGCTTCGTCGCCGCGGGCGCGTGCTATATCGAGTTGCCTAGCCAGCTGGTCGCGCTCGACGCCGCTGTATTTGATGTGAAGGGCGTTCTGGCGCTTGAGCTTCTCGGATACCTCCAGATCGGTCCAGCTTCGCCCGATCAGGTTGTTGATGTCACCGATCTTGGCGACGAGTTCCGGCTTGGTGGGTATCGGAACACCTTCCGATAGGCAGACTTGCTTGTACCGGTTCCATTCGCCTTCGGTGAAGTCCCTGTCGGAACAGGTGATAAATGGCCACTCCCGCTGCGCCTTGCCGTGGGCGGCCTTGATGTAGAGGTCCACAACGATCTGATGCCCAGTGCGATCAGTTATCGCGTAGGGTCTGCCCTGGGTAAAACCTGTAGGTCGTCAGTTAGACCGTTGGGCGAGAATAGCCTCAGAAATGTAACTCACTCTTGATGACAGCCATGCGGTAAACATCTTGGCGTGTCGTAGGGTCGGGCCCGATATTGATGCGGACGAAGCAACCCGAGAGAGCCTTCTCGACGCCAGGATAGAAGCATACCTCAGCGAACCGACTTCTCCCGACGCGGATACGCTCAACATCACGCAACTCGGCCGGTGGGGTTTCTCTAGGTTCGGGTGTCCTGGACTTTTGCCGAGAGTCCCTCCGCCAGTCGTTGTCGCTGTCGTGGTCGTCGGGGCTGCGACTCCGACGGTATGAGGGGGATCGTTGCCTGCGGCGGTCGTTCTCACGTTCTCTTTGTTCCTTGCGGTTGCTGCGCTCTTCTCGGGCGCGGCGTAGCGTGTCCATTTTGTCACTACTCTCGCCGGCCTTGGTGCGAGCACGAGCCGACTTGCGTGCGGCATCTTCAAGATCGGCCGCGCTGGCCTTCCGCTTCTTGCTGTCTTTCTCCTGGTTGACTTTAAGCTGGCGCAGCATGCGGTTTTGACGAATGCGCTCATTCTCCTCCCTGCGCTCGGCTAGGATTTGTTCGCGCTCGATCTCGCGCATGCTCATGATACGCGCTCTCTCCTCATGGCTCTTGAACAGGCCTTCGACGGGATACTGCAAGTCGTCGTCCGTGCTGCGGTCACGGTTCTGGGGCGCATCGGAATCGGAGTCCGACTCGTCCATTGGAGCGGACATCTGCGAGCTGGGGGACGCCGGCGGCGAGGATCTGCGGGGAGCCATAGTGGTTAGGATGATCTATTTAAAAGTAGTTACTAGCAAATAACATCTGAAGTGTGTGGTATCGGAAGAACATTGATGAGAGGTTCTGGGTGTAAGGTGCTGAGTTCGTTTGCAGAAATTGGGAGGTGAGGCGGGGGGGGGGGGAACGAGCGCTGGGAGGTATAACAGGAAGTTGCGAAGCAAGGAATATTTCCCAACTTCGAGTGGTTGCAGCGTTCCCATCTTACAATCTCACAATAGGATATGAATGCAGTGAATAATAGCAAAAGAAGCGGGGCACAACTCACGCCTCTCCCTCATCCTCCGACTCATTATCACTTCTACTCGCACGTCTCGTTTTTTTCGCAGGCGTCTTCTTCAACGCCACACCCCTTGATGGCGTGTCCTTTTCCCTCGATGAAGCCGCTGGCGGTGACGGCGAGCGCGACTCGTTTCGGCTCATATCCATCGCTTCCTCCTCGTCCGACGACACATCACCACCGGCGAGAGCAAGTAGCTCATCATCGATATCAGACATTATGGCGACTCCAACACGGAAGGTTAAGAGTGATTAGGGTTCGTTCGTTTGCGAGGGCAGTACGGCGATTCTCGGCGTTGCAATCCGATCGGCGACGACGCGATCACGGATTGGGGAATACGGCAGCGACGGCTTTGGACGTTGTCCTTAATGAGGACGGTAATCGGAGGCGTAGGTACGTGTGTATTCACAGCATTGATGGTGAGAAACGGCGCACCGAGAAAGGAGAGGGAGCGGGAGCGGAAGTGGGGCGAAAGAAGCGCAAGTTGTTGAAGGTTTGTACGTTAAAAGAAAGAAGGGGAGTTTGCGCGGCGCGAGGCTCAACTTTAAAGATGGGAGTTTGGATGCGAGAACCCAGGCAATTGGTTCTTGGCATGCGGCAGGGGGGCAAGGTGCACTCTCAGGCGCTCAAGCCCATCCACCTGCTCGCTCCTCCGACTGGTGGCAGGCCCGGAGGTGGGGCATCGTCAAATGGACGGTCGTCGTCAAACATCGGCCATCGAGGTTCCCGGTTCCCGAGCTACAAAACCCATACCACACCACCGCACAACCACCACCTGAAGTCCAAATCGCAATGGCGTCCCCACGCCTCCTGTGGCAGCCAATGCGCCACTGCATGAGCAGAATCCTCGCACCAGCACGACAACAAACCCGTTCCATCTCGTCCACCACCACATCCGCATCCCAAGCTACAACGTCGTCATCCTCATCCCCCTCCAACACCAACACCAACACCAACACCACCTCCCAACCAAACCCAACCCCACCCCCCAAACCCAAAAAGCCCCTCACCCCCGCCCAGCAAGCCTTCCTCTCCTCGGCCCTCCGCGTCAACCAAGCCGGCGAGCTCGCCGCGACACTCATCTACACGGCGCAAACCCCGCCCGTCGTCGCGCGCGAGCCCCACCTGCGCCCTCTCATGCGGCACATGTACGAGCAAGAAGCCGGCCACCTGGCGACCTTCAACGCGCTGATCGCCAAGCACCGGGTGCGCCCCACGGCGCTGTACCCGGTATGGTCGGCGCTGGCGACGGGGCTGGGGTGGACGACGGGGGTGCTGGGCCGGGAGGCGGCCATGGCGTGCACGGAGGCGGTGGAAACTGAGATCGGCGGGCATTACAACGCGCAGATTCGGAGGTTGTTGGAGATGGTGGCCGGGTGGGAGGCCGAGGGCTATGAGGTTGGGGAGGAGCTGCGCGAGCTGATTGGGACGTTGAGGCGGATTCGGGATGAGGAGCTGGAGCATCTGGATCATGCGGTTGAGCATGACGCGAAGAAGGCGGAACCGTATTGGTTGCTGACGGGGGTTATTCGTGCCGGGTGTCGGGGTGCGATTTGGGTCAGTGAGAGGGTTTGATTTGATTAAAACGTGGGAGGTTGTATTAGAATTGGTGTGTAAGACTACAAAGTGTATATGGTCTGCGAAATAAGCCAGGTGGGAATATATAACGGTGACAAAAGGGAAGAGGGTGCCTATACGATACCCCGAGCGTGCGAGGCAAGCCCACCAAAGAAAAAATGAGATGTGGCTTGAAGGACGCCAATACACCAGAAATAATGCATGGTGGTGGTCTAGGAGTAAATGCCACAACACCAGAACGCCAGCGCAACTGCTCAAAACAACCACGGAATGCGACCCATCACTCTCACTCTCACTCTCACTATATATACCACCTCTGGAGGAAGCAAGCTTTCCTCTACCACCGCTCAGCCCCACTCACAGCCACGTTCAGTTACTGTTCACCTTGTTAGCAACTATCCATACACACGGGACCCACAAGACGCAGAAAACTTACTAGATAGCCAACGGCGCCACCTGGTCCACCTGGAACAGCCAGTTCCCATTCGTCTCCTCCACCGCGAGCCAGTCGTACGGAAACTGCACCAGCGGGCCCTGCGTCATCTGCAGCAGCTCCTCCGCGTCGGCCTTGGACAACAGCTCCTCAGGCACGCCGAAGCGTGGCCGGCTGCCCTTAGTCGTCGCGCGGCGGCGGCGCTTCTGCGAGCCTGCCGGCTTGACACCGGGACCGCTGGCGCCGCCCTGGGTAGAATCGCGGTTGCTTGTTGCCGCCGAGAGGTTGTTTCCGTTCCCGGAACCTGTGCTGACGCCCGTCGGCGGTGGCTTCTCCTGGTTGGAAAAGGTAGGACGGCGCTCCTTGCGACTGTCGGGCCGCGCGCCGAGGCGGGCGTTGGCCTCGGTGGTGGGGAGTGTGTCGCGGCTCGAGTTGATGGCGTCGTCTTGCCTCCCCACTTCGCGGTTCGTGCTCGCCCGGGGGGTCTCGTCCCGCAACCCGTCAGCCATGGCCTGCTTCTCGTCCATAGCACCGTCGCCGTGGGACGGAGTCATCTTCGTGGCGGCTTTTGCTACGCCACCGAGTTTCTCAGACACAGCAGCAGCCGCACCAGCAGCGGGGCCAGGCGCGCCGATGCCAGCGCCCGCTGCGGTTTGACCCGACGCCCCCTCGGCCGCACTGGGCTTTTCCTCTTCCTCGCTCGTTCGGTGACCATCCATGCTTGCCTTGAAACGGGCGTTATAGTTGTTGAAATCTTTATATTCGGCCCAGTTGGTCGCTTCCGAATCCGGCATGCACCGGAAAACACGCCTGTAGATCCGCGTATTGTTCTCGGCAGCACGGGACCAGACGTCGTCATAGAAAGTAGGGTTCAGAGGATCGCGCATGCAATCTTTATGGATGTCGGCTAGTTTGATATCGATGGGGAGCGAGGTAGCGTTGCCGTGAACCGGCCGGCCAGCCGAATCAACCCGGACCGGCGGCCCGCCGATGTCCGTATCATCGACAATGGGCAATGTCGGCAGCTGGTTTGCTCGGGGAAGGCCGGCTTGCTCAGTCGTTCGTCGGTCGAAGGGTGGCATCGGCGGCGCGCCCTCGTGAACCCTGGCGCTTTCGGGAGTCGCAGCACCAGACACGCGCCGAAGCTCGTGCGGGTCCCTCGGGTTGTCAAGCGTCCCCTTGCCTTCCGCCGCAACGTCCTTGAGGAGCACCTCACGGTTGTTGATGATCACGGTATCTCTACCTTGATCGAGACCTTTCTCTTGCGCATTCTTCCACCGGTCGGCGCCGAAACCCTCCACTTCTTGGTGGTGCTTCTCGACGGAGGGCTCTGCGGGGGAAGCCTGGCGCTTTGAGCTTCTCGAAAGAGTCCGCCTCCGAGCGCGAGGCTCTTCCGAGCCGGCATCGTGGTTAAAGCTATGAGGCTCCTGAGGCAGCGTTGGGGTTTTGGGTGGCTCGGTAAAGGAAGATCTTCGTCGTCTGGAACTCTCTTCCATAGGCGACGGATCAGACTCCTCCTCGTAGATTTCGTCCATCTCTGCCTCGAACTGCTCTTCGCGGTCAAGATCAGCCTGTCGCTCCTCTTCCAAGATTTCGTCCACGTCCAGGCCCAGGTGCTCTCTCATGAGCCGAAGACGGAGCGTGTGCGCGAACCGCCCGACCTGGTACGGCCGGCCCCCCATGGTCGACCAGATGAGGTCTGTATCACGGACGACGGCGGCGACTTCAGAATCGCGACTGCCCAGCATTGATCGTTCGTTGATGTTGGCCGAACCGATCAAGGCGATACGGTCATCAACAATGATGCACTTGGCATGGATGTAGAGCTGCTCTGTTGTCAGAACACCGTTGTTCAGCTTGCCCCACTGTCGGAGACTGAAGAACTGGATGTAGTCCTCCGGCTCGATGCCGGCAGCCCGTAAGCGCCCAAAGATCGAGTGCTCCCCTCGGCAGATGCTGCGGTATTGGAATTGCAGAATCAACCGGACGCTGGACCCGTCGGGTTGGTTCACCTCGTTCTGGAAACCCGGCATAAGCGGCATCACGATCACGGCACGCCAGTCCTCGTCGTTTTCGTGAGCCCGGATGATACGGCGGACCAGGGCATCGCCGATACCGTTCACGACCTTGGTATTTAAGGTTTCGGTACTAGTGATGAAGAACTGGTTCTCGATGTAGACGAAGTGGTCCGAGTTGTCAATCATTTTGATGTAGGCCGACTGAATGCTGTGCTCTGTGTCCTCGGTACCAAGCGACCACGTTGTGGCGGAACGGAGGATCTGGACTTCGCAGGTGCCATTAAGACCCATTGCCTCGAGCTCCTCTGGCTTACAGTCTGGCGGCGGCAGTAGAAACGGGGTAGGCCGTGTCGGCTTCCGTCCGCGTCGGACATAATTCCACCTCTGCACAAAGTGCCGGGTGAGATCCCGTGCCGGCTGCCCCACGACTTGCATCGCGATATCGTGCCAGGGCATGCGCGGCGTCATTGATCTGTCGTACATCTCTGCGTACGGCTCGTGGAGCTTGGAGAAATCTAGGACTCTAGGATTGGAGTAATCCTTGCCGGGGAACAGTTGGCAGTGTTCAGCGTCCTTGGGGGCGTCTTGGGGTTCGAACCCGGTGGGTTTGTCGTCCACCACGGGATGTTTAGGGGTATCCCACCGGCCGAAGCACAAGTCGATCCCACCCACGAAAGCAATATCGTGATCTACGATACAGACCTTTTCGTGGTGAGCAAAGAAGAACTGGTTCTTCTTGAACTGGTGAGGTGACCGTTGAATGAAGATGTTTGGATGGAGGTTGAGTAGTGAGAACTTGGTGTACTCTGAATCGATGGGAATGGCGGCCTCGACGTTACGATAGACAATGACGAAGACTTTGACACCTTCGGCAGCCTTCCGCTGGAGCAAACGGTCGAGACGCCACTTTTGACTGATGCAGGCGGGCCGTCTCATGTAGAGCTCGGGACTCAGCCACCAATCATGAATGTAGACGACGTCCTTCGCCATGCTGATGGCACGGGAGACATTCCACATGTAGTCGCGACCGTCGACCAACCACTGGGCATGCACTCCTGTTCGAACCGGGGCAAAACTGCCAAAGCGATTCTCGAGGTGCCAGGGAGTGTGCTTTAGCATTTCCTGGATGGATTCCTCAAACTGGGATATGAGATGCTGGTTGGGAGCAAAGAGCTTCACCTTCCGTTCCGAGGTGATGATCTTGAGTGTATGATGGCCACCAGTGGGTCGAGGTGCAGAGGGATCGAGGTTTTCAATATCCTCATCTCGCTCTCGGCTCATAGCGCGAAGCTGCTTATCTTTGCTCTTGGTGACGATCCGGAATTTGGGGTCGACGAGGTAGACATCGTAGATGTTCATATTCTCGGGCGATTCAACACATACAATGTAGCTCTGTCGGACTAGGAACCACTTTCGGCTGTGTCTCGCAATCACTTTGCCCGGTGTCAGCACGCGGCGGAAATCGAGGCCTTGGGATGACTGGATGTGCAGGTAGCATTCTTTCCCGTGGTAACTGCCCTCGGCCGCCAGCCGGACCCCCAGGGCGGACAGCTCGAGGAAGCGGCATAAGCGGTTGCTGTCTGCCCTGAACATGAGCCATCGAATCATGTCCTGGAGATACCTCTCCAGCATCCTCTGCTGCCGCTCGACATATTTCCTCTTTTGGGTGGCGGCGTCGACGACGACCTGGCCGAGGTCGGCATTTGAGCCAAGTGCGGAGGGTTTACGCCGACCACCAAGGTAAGGCATCCGTGAGCGCTTCTTGCGCATAGGCGGCCTGTCTTCCACATCGGTCCCTTCTTGTACTGTCACCTCACCGGCGGTCATCTCGCCCGCCGTCTCTTCGGCACGGGTCTCGTTGCCGAGTTCCTCTTCCTCGTTGTCGTCTAGGCCTCTCACGCCACGGAGATAGGGAAAGGCAGAAAGGGGGAAGCGTGGTTGTTTGGGCCGCCGCCCGCCATAATCGGAACTTTTGGAAGGGAACCCTTCGTTGCCCAAGGCCAGCTTGTACTTCCAGTGTAGGTTCATAATGTCCTTGATGCTCCGCTTGATTGTCCACTTCATCTGGCTCGGGCCACTCCCGTATTCGAGCTCCATGGTGAACATCCAATGCCTTTCGCTGTCCTTATCCGGGGCCGGGGTGCTGTCGGTAATACGCAGCCTTAGCTGCTCGAGCAACACCGGTATCCTCTTATTGCCGTGCTCATCGCGCTGAATCATACTTGCGAGCATCAGCACGGCGGGTGCACCGCCAAAGAGCTCTGCCATAAGTTCTGCAGATTTGGAGAAGTCGAACTGCTCGTCTTTTTTCTGGCGTAAGAAGTTTAGTGCGCCCTTGACTTGCCGCCATTTCTGGACGCCGAAAGTCGAGGCTCTGTCTGCCTTAAAGAAGGGTCTCCTGGGGGTCATGGCATCGCCATCAGATACGCCGCCGCCGCCACCACCAAGAGCAGAAAGCCGCCTGAAGTGATGGCCTACTCGAAGGCCGACAGGGCTGTCAGCGTCCTCTCCTTCCTCGCCCGGTCTAGACCTCCAGTTCATCCCCCTCCTCGAGCCACGTTGCCCGGCAAGGCGGTCACGCCCTTCACCCTCGGAAAACCCGTGGTCATCGACGCCAGCCAACGGAGTACGCCTCAGAAAGGCCAAGCGCCTCTGGGCATCCGACGTTTCGGGCCCTAGCGAGCTCATCTGTGGGGTGTTGGGGACCGAGTAGGATTCCATCCTGAGCCTCCGCATACGCCTCCTCCTCTTCTGTTTCCCTTTTGAAGGCGTAGCGGCGGTCTCGTCGGCTGTTTCCTCAGCATCTGCGTCGTCGTCACTCCCTTCGTCTGTGGCGCGGGGGAGCCGGTTTGTATATCGAAGTGCGGTTGGCGAGCTGGCTGTCGATGGTAGCTCTGGAGTCGTGGCTGGCATTCTCGGGGTCTGCGCACCGCTCGGCCCGGCGAGTTCTTTGAGCTTTGATATAAAACCCGAACCGCGGATTTTCCCCAGAGCCTCCCTCGTGTCCCAGGACCCAGTTCTCGAGTGCGCTACCGGTGGATCGGGAAGCCCATCGTCTGGGGTAAACTGCACGCTCTTCCGACCGGCAATAGGGGAGGACGGTTCGGCGACATCAGACATGGCTCTAGGCTGCGAAGGAATGTCGGTATTTGATGTCGGTGTCTGGGATGAGCCCGGGAAATTTGCTTGAGGAGATATCCTCTCGTGAGGGTTCCCCCCGTTTAAGTAGTCAGCTGCTTCGTTCTCGGCGGTGCTCGATTTCGCGGCAAAGTCAAATTCGTCTGAAGCTAGAGGTGTCGCCGGACCAAACACCTTGGCTTGTGGGATCGTGGGTAACTCGGTGAAAGTGCCCGAAGATAATGTGGACTCCTTCCGGGCCACACCGGTAGGGTCGGCTCGGGTTGTTTCTGCCATGGCTGCTGGAAGCAGATTGGCACGTTTCGATGGTTTCGATCCTCAATAGCGAGGCATGGCACACCCGATTCAACAAAGCACTGCCCGAGGACCCCAACGGCAGAGTTGCGAGCGTTGCACCAACACGTCGTTGTCTAACGCCTCCGTAATGCTGAGCGGCGCGGCTATATTTGGTGGGTAGCAGGGGTGCGTGTGAGCGCACGCGACCGCAGTGCTAATTCGAACGCAGAATGGCTATATCGATGGGACACGTGGGAGTGTCAAGGAAATGCGGTTTGTTGATATACACGGTCGGGCTTCAAGGTGGTCGGTTGGGAAAATAGTTCGGATCCAATGCTGGGATCGATGGTATACAGCTTTTGTCCCACCTATTCGTTTGAACTCTGGTTTTCCTTCGGCGGCGTTAGTTAAACCGGCGCATGCAACTATCAGTTTCTGTACGGTCGTTGGCTCTCTTCTTGCGCAAGTTGCCGGTTGAGGTGCATCGACCTGGTATTCGGAACAGGGATCTGGCGCAAATCACAGCAATGGCCGTGTAATTTGGATGCGTGGAGTCTCATCGTAGCGATCCACATTGCAACCGCCCCTCAAAACCCCGGCACTCGGGCCCATGTTTCAAGTTGACCGCCCATCGCTTGGGTTGAGCACCCTCTGGCCAAAAAAGCCGAACTTGAAAGGCAAAACCCCGCGAAAGAAATAGGAAAGAAAACTAAGAAAATAGAAAGCGATAAGAAAAAAAGGGTAAAGTAAGCCGAGAAGAAATTAATGAAAAGAATCCCAGCAAAATAAAAACTATCTTTAGACTCTGGGCCCTTGCCGGCACCTATATGGAAGCATGGGCACTTGGAGTTCAGCTTATTTTGTCAGGGGGGACTTTGGTTTAATCTACAGCATACACGTATTTTTCGTTGGGTTACACATCAGATTTACCTTTCTGACGAGCCACACGACAAAGAGTGCATACCTAGATAGTCCTAACTACCGTCTATATCTTTAGAGTGTGGAGCATAAAACAAACAGCCTTTGAATAGTTCGGTGAATAGGCAAACCGGTGTCGACAGAAGTCCCGTGGTCCAAGTGCAAGTGCAAGTGTATTTAAAGTGCAAGGGCGACCACTTTGTCGCAGCGGGTTGGCGGGGTCAAGAATTCGCGTCTCCATTGGCAAACGCGTCTGCATCTTGGACTGACAAGCCCAGCAACCACCACGATGCCCAGGTACAGAAAATACGTCTATCGACCCGTCCGGGACACGACTTCTGACATGGCCACAGAGAGATAATTACAGTTCAGGCGGGCCAGTGCGGCAATAGCAGTCAGTTTCTTTCCCTCAGCGCGTCGGGCATGCATAGTCCAACATATCCCCGAACACACACAAGGTTAACATAACGGCATTAAGTTGGCAGTGAATTCTGGCAGCAACTTTGCCAGGAGCATGGTATCAACCAAGACGGTAATCTTGAGGAGTTTGCGACCGAAGGCGGCGACCGCAAGGATGTCTTCTACTACCAGAGCGACGACACACGATACATCCCAAGGGCCATCCTCATCGACCTCGAGCCACGGGTACGCCATGCCCCTCTTGTTAACTGCGGACACGCCCCGCTAAGTCTTATCACAGGTAATTCAAGGCATACAATCGGGTCCATATAAAAACATATACAACCCCGAAAACTTCTACGTTAACCACGAGGGTCTCGGAGCCGGCAACAACTGGGGTCATGGATACCAGCAAGGAGAGTCGGTGCACGAAGAGATCATGGAGATGATTGACCGGGAAGCGGACGGCAGTGACTCGCTCGAGGTGATTAGGCGGCTGCGGCCACACCACGCGTAAATATACACACCACGCATGCTGACCGATTGACAGGGCTTCATGATGCTGCACTCCATTGCCGGTGGTACTGGGTCCGGTTTAGGGTCATTTCTCCTCGAGAGGTTGAACGACCGCTTCCCGAAAAAGATTATACAGACATACTCGGTTTTCCCAAACACACAAACCGACGACGTGGTTGTCCATCCTTACAACAGCATGCTGGCCATGAGACGGCTGACGCAAAACGCCGACTCGGTCGTCGTCCTCGACAACGCAGCCCTCAGCCACATTGCTGCCGATAGGCTTCACCTCGCGACGACATCCATGTCGCAGACGAACCAGTTGGTGTCGACAGTAATGTCGGCCAGCACCACTACCCTCAGGTATCCCGGGTATATGCACAACGACCTCGTCAGCATCCTAGCGTCGCTCATCCCCACGCCGCGATGCCACTTCCTCATGACAGCCTACACGCCCTTCACCGGTGACCAAGTTGAGCAGGCCAAGACTGTCCGCAAGACCACCGTGCTCGATGTCATGCGGCGGCTTCTGCAGCCCAAGAACCGCATGGTGTCGACGATCCCGGGGAAGAAGAGCTGTTACATCTCTATCCTCAATGTCATCCAGGGCGAGGTGGATCCGACGGATGTACACAAGAGTTTGCTGCGTATCCGGGAGCGCCGCCTGGCCACCTTCATCCCTTGGGGACCCGCAAGCATTCAGGTGGCGCTGACGAAGCGAAGCCCCTACATCCCTATGGCGCACCGCGTGAGTGGGTTGATGCTTGCCAACCACACCAGCATCGCCACGGTAAGGTTTCCTGCACAAATCACCTTGTCTTCCCATTTTACTAATTCGTCCGTCCAGCTCTTCAAGAGGATATTCAGGCAATACGAGGGTATGCGAAAACGGAACGCCTTCGTGGACGCGTACAAGAAGACCACCCCGTTCTCTGATAGTCTCAGCGAATTTGACGAGGCGAAGGAGGTTGTGTCGGACCTCATCGCTGAGTATGAGGCAGCTGAGGATGCCAATTATCTCAACCCGGACGCAGGGGAACAGGCGACGTCGGCCGAGACTGACAAACGGATGGGATGAGAGATGACCGAGGAGCGGCAGTGATGATGCTGCGGGGTAACGACGAGGGCTTTTCTTAAAAGGTTTGCCTTGGAAGAATTACCCAGAGGTATTGGGATGGTGTCATGACCACGGCGTTCAGGAGCACGAGGTGGCTGGGGCTCTCCTGCATCTTTATCATTTCGTAGCCAGATTGTGTTATTCACCCGGCGTATTTTGACTACTACAATCGGAGCCGTCTCTGTGTGTCCGAGGAGCAGAAAGGGACCGATCACGCCATCTGAATGTCGAGCAAGCAATGAGCATACTGTACAGCCCAAACCCATTCTGCTCGGGCAATTCTAGTCCCTATGTACAGAGCTGGCACCCCAGGACAACAAATAAAAGGCTGTCTGGCAAGATGGGCAGATCGCTGCCACCAATTCCTCGATCCCAAAGCTCTACTTTTCCCTAAAGCCACTCAAGGCCAGGGGTATTCCCCTATCCGCCACCACCCCCACCATAACAGCTTCCACCACCCTCCATGCACCATAGCCACCAGCCTACTTGCGGTACCACATCCTCGTGATCTTGGTATTCCGCATCTTCCTCTGCAGCTGGAAAATCCCGTACATCAGGGCCTCGCTCGTGGGCGGGCAGCCGGGGACGTAGACATCGACGGGGACGATACGGTCGCAGCCGCGCACGACGCTGTAACTATAATGGTAGTAGCCGCCGCCGTTGGCGCAGCTGCCCATGCTGATGACCCAGCGCGGGTCGGGCATCTGGTCGTAGACCTGGCGCAGCGCCGGCGCCATCTTGTTGGTCAGCGTGCCCGCCACGATCATGACGTCCGACTGCCGCGGCGACGCGCGGAAAATGATGCCCAGCCTGTCTTGATCGTACCGCGGCGCCGACAGGTGCATCATCTCCACGGCGCAGCACGCCAGCCCGAAGGTCATGGGCCAAAGGGACCCCTGGCGCGCCCAGTTGGTCATGATGTCGAGGGTTGTGCTAGCGGAAAAGGGGTGGATGTTAGCGGGGGGTTGTGGGGTCAGGAATGCGGCTGTCTGTCGGCCATCAGGGTGGGAGAGTGAATGCGTACAGCGCGTATTGGACGAGCCCCTTGGTGGGCTCCTGACTGGGGAGCGGGACTTCCTTGCGGTCCGGTTTTGCGAGGCCGTACCCGGCGTGCGGCTGGACGGCGCTGGCGGCATCTTTGTGAGAGGAGGTCGAGAAAGCGGCGGCGGCGCGGAAGGGGGCGAGTGCAGTGGTTGGCCTCGCTGTTAATTGACCGAATCGTTAGCCTCAAAGCTTCCAATGGATGGTGCAAGACTCATTCATGTTTCCTAGGAACTCGGGCACCGGGAAATCGGTGGCAAACTCACCTCGTAGGGCCAACGAGGCGCCCGTCCTCGCAGAAGACAACATCTTGTGATTGTGTGCCGAAACGGGCTGGAAGGAGTGGAGAGATCCAAGTCGGCAGACGTCGCGAGCAAAAGGGTCCCTCCCCACGTCAGTTCGAACGGTCGTTGCGTTGATATCCCCGATCGCTTTTCGCCGCATAACGCACGGGCCAAGTTGCTGAGCACAAATATCCAATTCATTATTGGCTCGAGACGGGGAGCCGGGCCCACAGGTTCAACGCCATGTTTTCCCGGGGTTTTGCCTCATAAAGCTCCTCCACCGTACGTCACTCACTTGTTGCATTGAAATTACCAGATAGTAAACGCAATCATTCTCTCTTTACACAGCAATGAGAAAGATGGCTCGTGGTTGAGGACAAGAATCTCTCTTGCGTAATTACATCACAGCTTAAACGCCCCGCTACTTTGCGGCCCTTTTTGCTCCACCACCTTCTTCCCATCCAAGCCCACTACCTCTCCCTTGCGGTTGATAACCTTGACCCCACCCTTCTTCAGATCACCCATCGTCTCGCGCTGCGCCTGAGCCTTCTTACTCGTTTGTTTGCCCGCATCGGTGCCACCGGCCTTGCGAATGCGCTCCTTGTCACGCCGGCGCCTCCGCAGCTTCTCCTCGCGGCTCATCTCTTGCTTGGCTACTGGCAGCCCGCTCTTGGCCACCACCTCACCCTTCTCAGCAGTATCCTTGCTGGGAGCGTACACCTCTTGCGGTGCGATCATGCTCTCGCCGCCGGCCACGCCCTGGGCGGTCGTGGGCTGCGCATCTTCCATTGCGACAGTCGCAACATCAGCAACGACAGTGAGCGTCGGCGCGGCAGGCTTGGGCTTGTAGTGCCAGCTGCTGAGCGCGTCGAGCTTGGCGCTGATCTCCTTCCACATATTCTTGATCTCCTCCTCATCACGGCGCAGCTTTTCATCGGCTTGGCTGACGTAGGCGTCGGGGTTCGACTTCTTGACGTGCTCCTCCTCGTAGATCTCGGCCAAACTTTGCTTGCCCTTGGTATCGTCCACGTCGACAAGGCCGCGGCGCGCGTCGCTTGGGTTACCGAGGGTGTCCGGGCGTCTGCGAAGCACCTCGTCGAATTCTTGGGCGAGGATGCGGCGCTTGATGAGCTCTTCGATGGATTCGGAAACTTCTTCGGTGATGACGGGGACTGGCTTGCCGACATGCTCAAAGTCCATGTCTTCTTCCAGCAGCGAGTTGAGCGGCCGGTCGACTGCGGTGGCTTCGCCAGAAAGTGTCCAAGCCCGCTTGGCAACTAACTCGCCTTCAAGCTTTCGTATTTCCGCCGCCACCTTGGCTTGTCTCCGTTCGTGAGCCGAGCGGCGTGACCGAGGGTCACCAGCCGAGACATCAGAGAGCGCATCCTCAGAATCGGACCTCTCGGACAAATCGTCGAAGAGATCGCGACGGACATCGTTCTCAGCCCTCTCAACGTCGGCTTCGTCCGGTCTTGAAGCTTCAGGGAAATCCTGGCGCTTTTTGAAGCTGCCGGGCTTCTTCTTTTTCCTCGGCGGGGCAAAAAAGTCCTTGTAGTAGATGTCGTTGGCGGTGAGATCGAGACCCATGTCATTGAGATCATCGTCTAGGTTCCCCCCGTCATCCTCATCGTCTTCGTCGTCCAGGTCTTCTAGGTCCTTCTTGCTCAGCGCGGGCCCTGCCTCGTCCTCGTCCTCATCCTCGTCCATATCCGGTTCCGACTCGTCATCGTCACCCGCATCCCTCTTCTTGCGGGGCTTTTTCGCTGAGAAAGGATCGCCATGCCAGTCGACCGACTCGTCGTCACTGAAGTGATCCGTATTCGGGTCCGCGCGTGCGTCTTGGTCCTCAAACCATTGTGTTTGTTTGTTGAAGTCGTCTATCGAGAAGAAACCATCGTTGAGTCCATTCGGATCCTCGACAAGCTCTTCTTCGGGCTCGTCGTCGTAGTCGTCTTCTCCTTCTTCTTCCTCCCCATCTTCCTCAGCATCTAGTGCCTCTTCATCGGCATCCTCTTCCTCTTCGTCGTCCTCAGCCTCCATGTCGACCATATCCTCGTCTTCGTCAACTTGGCTTGCACCTTCGTCATCCGACTCTTCGGTGTCGCCGTCACTGGCAGACTCATCTTCTCCGGAGCTGATTTCGAAGCCGTCCTCACCAAATTCAATGGCCGTGGTGTCCTCCGCGTTATCTCCCAAACCCTGCACAACCGCTTCGTTCTCCTCAAGCTCCTCAAGAACCCGGGTAGACTCCTGGAGGGCGCTGGTGATGATCTTTTTGGCTTGCTGCCACACCTGGCCCGTCTCGAAACCGTCAACGTGCAGTTTCCTAATCTTCAAGACTGCGGCCTTATCCTGGTTGCCATCTCGCTTCCGCTTCTTGCCTGCATCCCGTAACCTCTGCTGCTGCTGGTCAGCGACCTGGCCGGCTAGCGCATCGAGTGTCTCCTTGGCTAGCTGGAGAGACCCTGTTGGGAGTAGGGGTGACGGCTGGAGGAAGGCGTGCCGATTGGAGGGGAACGTCGAGTCGAGAAACACCGTAGTGGCCGAAACGCTCTCAGATTGAACGACGGATTGCGCCATGGCCGGGGCGTGTGAGAGGGTATGCGACGTCGAGGTGAGCGAGGATGTCGTGCTGCTCGCGACCGCCATGCTTATGTTTTCTAAGCACAGACACCAACCAACACCAGTGCAGACGAACAGAAGCTGAGGAACCCAGTGCCCGTTGCACAGAACACGGATTTTTGGGGCCGTTCTGTCTGCCAAAAAATTTCGGGTGGTTCGACATGAGACCCCACCTCGACTGATGGTTTTGGCCAATCAAAGTTATGTTCAAAGGCGGTGGGAGAGATGCGGGCCCCTCTCGCTCGTGCTCCGCAAAAAAGCGGTGGTTTCTTGGCCGGCAGAACTCGGGCTGTCGGGTCACCAAATCGCGAAATCGTCATCAGTGACTTCTGTAACGTCTTCGCAGCATTCACAACAACCCCGCCGCTCTGAATCGCTTCAGTACTACTTTATCTGTTCATATTTCTGACCGGAGCAGCGTCAAATGATACCTACGCATTGTACGCTGGAACTATTACGATGTTGCGATTGGTACGGCTAATGACTGAGATAGGTCCCGTGTATATTTTTGACCACCGAGACAACACCGCACTGTTGTTTGATCGATCGCAAGTGAACAGAATCGCGCTGCAATTGTGCAATTGAGCAGGAAAATACGCTTTTGATGGCACCGCCGTGGAAAACTCCACCTTTTGTGGATTTGGAGTGTTCCGGCCATGGTCGAGGCTCTGTTTCACTTGGCCCCCCGGCAGTACCCGCTCCAGCCCGTTCACATACTCCGAAGTTCCTATGAATACTAACAAAGCATGCATCGAGCAAACATCCTTCCTCCCCATGGGGAAGGGCCTGTTATATCCATAAAAATGATTCAATTCATTCTTATTCGCCAATTCGTTCTTTCGCCTATCGGAGCCACGACACACAACAATCGGCCCTGCCGACATCGCCAACACAACATCCCAGCATGTATTTCCAACAGCCGGCCATTGAACCTGGGCGTCCCGCGGGTCGACTCGCCTAGGCTCTCAGACTCGAGTCGTCGACAGGATCTGGAACCGGCGGCTTGAATCAATGCTGCGAAACAGCGGAGAACGGGTGTGGGAGGCACGTGCTTGATTGGCGTAACACCCAAACCCGCGGCCAAAGATGGTTACATTCCTGTTGCGGTGCGTCTTCCGTCACACACGGCAACGACGGTTGTCCGTCCCGCACCATTCTCCCACAAAACCGCTGAGCGGTCTGCGGGAGCTCGGGGAGTTGATCACGCGAGGGCTTGCCTTTCCGAAAAACATGGTTCTTTGCGTGCCACAGCTGCATGGCAGGCAACCACGCCCGAGCACACTGGGGCAAACATACCATCATCCCCACCGCCTAGCCGCGAAAATCTTCGGCAGCCGGGTGTTCCTCGCTTCGACCCTCATCTCCTTTTGGCTTCTGGGTCGATTGTGGTGCTCTCTTGGCTCATCGACGCTAACACCGTCGACATTGGGACTCAACCCGAGGCCAACAACAATCAACGCACACGTCACTAACGTCCTAACGCCGCTCAGAGCAAATCACAGGGCAAGATCATCGGGACAGCTCAAACTCAAGAGCTTGGCTTGACACACGTGAGCACTTGCCTTTAGGGTCCAAACGACCCCTGCTGCCCCACGCCTTGTCGCTGAGGCTTAGCGCTGGCCCTATGAGCACAATGTCTCCATCTGGTGGCGGGAATTCGGATGAGACCGACGTGCAACCAACCACAGCTGTAAGACGAAAAGAATCTTCGGGATCGAAGGAGCGACACGGGCTCGCCTGAGAGAAGTTCCATTGAGTCGAACCCGCAAATAGTTATCAGTTCTTGCACCGGTGAAGATTACGGGGTGAAACAAACGAGGGCATTCCCTGTCTCCGGTAGCATCGTCACCGAAAAAAAAGGTGAGCTTGCAAGGTTCTCGGATACCTGAGCCGCAGAGACGCCATGCAGCCTGCATGCAATACAAGAACTAGTGCTTGTCGACGTTGCTATCTCGGCCTCGGGTAAGAGCCCTTTCTTGTTCCATTGAGTTCTTCCGCGGCTGGCCCCAACACCGGCATCAAATGTAACGGTCCTGGGGGTGGTTGGTAGCCAGTCAGAGCCGTCTCTTGGCCCACGTGCTTGCGAGAGAGCACGACGTCCATCTTCGAAGCCAACGACCGTTTCATCAACGACGGCCAAAGCGGGCGGATAAACAGCTTCACCAAAACATAGCGGGGAAGATTGGCAGGGCCCTCGACCGAACATTGACGATCTCGAGAGAGAAGGCCCCTCTCTCACAACTATTGGTAACGAACCACTATTGCAGGCCGGGGTGCACCACAGGCAACTCGCCTCGACATTGGTCACGCAGCATCGCTCCTGAGAGCATCGGTCTAACTGTCGCCATAGTGGCAAAAACTGATGCGCCATGCAAGTGCTCGTCGAACCGCAGGTGTTGAGTTTTGATTACCCATGTGCCATGGACACGGCAGTGCCCAGTGCGGTCGGCGCCAATTGATACTTTTGAGGTTTTTCAATCTGTTTCAATCGGCCTATGAAAGCGCTGATGAACCGGATAACTCCCGAGTGCCGGAGCGATCCTCCAGCAGCCCGTCCCGGCGTCCATGGAGACTGGCTGTCTTTTCAAGCTTTGAGCCAATGCAACATTTCAGATGGACCATTCAGCGAGCGGCACCGGTATAGCAGCCGGCTGCTTGGGGCAAGTCTTGAGGGGCCTGCTGCTGGTGCACGGTGGACCACAATCTGTCGCCGTGGCGGGGTCGATGACGGAACAGGGATCTGGATGCACCAGGCCCCTACCCTTGCTCAGCTGCAAGTTGGGTATCCTCCTCTCCTTTTGCAGCGATCGCTCCGCAGCCCGCATGTGCTTGCCTCCCCCCTGCCCAGACGAGCCAGGCCAAAGCATGCCAAGCCAGACCCTCCAAGAAACAAAAGCCCCACCAGAAGGTACCGTTTTGTATAATTTCCACAACCCGGGATGACAACGGCGCCTTCTTCCTGGCCATTGTTGGTTTCATCGTTGGCTTTAAGAATTGCACAGCCACGTACTTGTCTCTTTCTGCGCTCCATCTCTGCTCCGAATACTTTTATTCTCGAAAAATCCCCATCATATATTAGAAGCCAGTAAACGTCATTCCCGCCTTTCGTAGGTAACTATCCCGAGCCGAATTTCAGACGGAGCCTTTAGTTGCCTGCCGCGCCGTCCCATCAACTCATTCCATCGATCCTCCCCCACCAAGGGTCACACGTCATCGTCGAGACCACGATAGGAATGAAATACGGGGAACAGTTCGAGAAGGAATCTGTGCCACAATGGAGCCTTCGTATGTCTAACCGTCAAGAAAACCGAATGACGTCGGAATGGTTGTCGCTCATGCGTTCATGTTTTAGATAATATCGACTACAATTCGCTAAAGCATCACATCAAGGTGCACACAACCAGGGACCAAGCCACGGCGATAGCGATACCGGGTCGCCCAAACACGGCTCTCCACAAGTTTGAGGATGATTTTTACTCGGAGCTGTGCCGGCAGCACGACCGGGTCGAGCTATTTGTTTCGAGCAAGGCCGACGAAATTGTGAGGCGACTGCGTAAGTACCCGACGGGCCCACGCTTGAGAGCGCCAACCAACTAAACCAATTCCACGTCACAGACCACCTCTCGAGCCAAATTCACCGACTGATACTACGATGTGCAACCTCGGGGCGGAACCGCATGTCCCTTAAACGGCGGCAACGGTTCGCCAAATACGAGCAGGTACTGCTGCAATGCGGCGACGACATCAAGTCTCTCCAGCGCTTCGTCAACGCCCAAGTGGTCGCCTTCCGCAAGATTCTTAAGAAGTACAGAAAGTGGACTGGCTCATCGACGTTGAGGATCCCGCTTCAAAGACAGCATGCTGTCCAACCCCAAGAGCTTCACCAGGCGCGACTTCGCCCAGCTGCAGTCACACCACGATGATCTACTACAGACATTGCATGCGGCCTTGCCTGCCGGCAGCGTTGGCTCGCCGGAACCCGAACCCCGACTTCTCCTGCCCCGGTACCGCGCAGCTCTCGCCGAGCGAGACAATGGTCGACCCCGAATCGCAACCGGCCACGGGGTATTGGATACGAATATGAGTACGGCAGCGAAGCAGGCGACTTCGATCGCAATGGCGGACGACCAGTACGCTATTTATATTGACCCCAACCAGGGACAACTTCTTCCCGGGTCTCAAAACCCTCCGGGTCTTCTTCTCGAGACCTATCACCAAAACTAACCGCCTGGATATCCTTTCCACCCCGAATCCGACTTTCCAACCGCCGATCTTGAGCGTGGCCCCCTCCTTCCCACTCACACCAATGATGGGTACGGCTCAACCAGCACCCCACCGGAGCCAAGCTACTTCAACAGCCCCCCTGGTGGGACCAATACCAACACGACCGACACAGACCTGGAGGATGACCGGACCTCGTCTTCGCGACAAGCATCCAACGGCCACAGCCGGCGTGGGTCTGTAAATAGGGGCTACACATCCTCTTCGGATGACCAGATGTTTTTCCCATCTGGGTACAGCACGCATTATGCAGCGCTACCAAGCGTCGAGGAGCAGCGCGTAGTCCGGTACCGAGAACGGGTGCTGCGGTGGGGGACGTGGGGGTGTTATGGTACCGCGTTCGTGCTGATGGGCATCGCAACCGTGCTGATCGTCGCGGGGCGGCAGAAGATGAGGCTCGAGGTGGATGCGGGTGTCATCCTCGGGATCATGGCGAGCCTCGGGTTGGCGTGCGGCGGCTTATGTATGACGAGTTCGCGGACGGATAAGCTCGGGCTGATGGGGCGGTTGGCTGTTTGGTCCGTGTTTGTGGTGATATGCGTGGCGAACGGCGTTTTGTTGGTGCTGCTGATGGGGAATGCGAAGATATGACGGGGGGTATGAGAAAGCAAACCGTCGGGAACACCATCGGCGTGTACTCGGTGCCGTTTTGATTTCTTATTCTTTTTCATTGGTTCTTTCTTTCTTTTTGCATGCCTCATAGCTCGAGACACCACTCCGTGTGGAGCCGGGCAAGAGGCCTCACGAACGAATACCCGGATGGTTGCATGGTGCGGTAGACGGATCAAGGCATAGGACGCGAGGGCATTGGGCAGTCGGATAAGATGGAGGCACAGCGACCTAGAATGGGGGCGCGGTGCATGTACATACTGACAAGATGACGAGGGCACGAAATCGAGGTGTTTGTCCCGCGATTGGGGCCAAAATACAGATTCGGACTTGCAGGCCGATTGCCACAATCGCATATATCCCGTGTAGACAGGCATTTGTTTCTCGTGACGCTGCTGTGCCACCTTGGTACCTTGATTGAGTGGAATTGTCTGCTCGGAAGGATTGTATTGACCACTGCTGATTAACGAGAACGTTGACCCCGATGTCACTTAGTTAGACTTGTAAGCCGCTTCTCCGCATCAGCCCCTCAGAATATCCACTCCATCTCACCCTCACACTCACTTACACAAATACACACTTGTAAAAGATACCACATACGCCAGAGTCAACCAAACTCGCGATCAAAATGGCACAGAAACTCGCAATAAGCTAACCACCTGGTTTCCCCAGGCTCAGCATCCCATCATCATCAGTGCCCGATGCTAGGGGACCTCCAATGGCACTCTCGCAGCAGAAGTCTCTAAAGCAGGGGGCATCGGTAGGTCCTCATTCTCTTTCTCGGCCAAGCCGGTATGTCTAAGAAGTTCCAAAAACTAACAAGAAAAAAAAGGAATAATCCCTGGTGGCTTCAACTTCCTCC